CAGAGTACATGTACCATAATCGGTTAACGAATAAGGCTGGGTATAGCGCACTATCATCAGTAAGGTAATAGAAAATTTCGGTTAATAGTTCGGGCAAGGTAAGTGGGTGTAGTTTAATGTATGACATCGCTACTTATCTTTATCGATTTATTATATAAAAGAACAATTATATCGAATGTATTGGTGAAGCTATCTTGTCTAAGAATCGGAGGTTGGTAAATAACCCTTCTCTTGTAATTTGCTTTTTATATAGGGAAATAAATCACATGTATATGGCACTTCGATAAGACATATACCTTGTTCCTTGCATATTTTCCGCTTTTTTTGATCTCTGATTTTTTGTTGTTCCAAGTCTATCTGACCTCGTTTATGGAACATTCGATTAAGAGTAAAATGTTGTATGCCCTGGAATTCATATGCCAATTTTAGCTCTCCATTATACCCGTCTAATTGCATCCCATTCAAAAATGGCGGTTTACAAGATGGAAATTTCTTACCTAACAGGTCCTCAAAAATATATCGAGCGGATCTCTCGCCTTTATTGTGATGGCATAGGGGGCACCATTCGAATTTACGCTCTAATACTTCTAATGGATACTCAAATTGATGGAGTCCATTTTTGCAGGACCAAAGAAATATTTCTTGATCATTGATTCGACCAGTCCTCCCAAGACAATGCCCATCACGCTTCTTAGCATAAATTTCAGCTTGTGCTAACTTACTATTGGAAACTCGAATAAAATGAATAGAACCAGTAGGATGATATTTACGCATAAATTCGTCTGGTGGATACTGTATTTTTTCTGGATTTTCAATAACCTGAAGTTCCTCTCTCTTGAAAGGTCTTTTAGGGTTGCGACCCATTAAATGAGCAATTGATTCGATCGGTTCACCAAGATAGTATAAAACTGGTTGTGGTGGATTTTTACCTACAACAACTTTTTTGATTCTATAAACCCGCAAACTCCAGTATGGATCGGTTGCCCTATGTCTGTGATCACCTTCTAGCTCGCCCGGTTTCAATAAATACCTAACTGCTGTACCCTTTTTTAATTTTATTTCATTTTTACCGCTTTCTCTTTTAGGTTTAATCGAAGGCTTGGATTTAACTTCTTTCAATGTCATGGCATGGGCTGGCGTCATACCAATAAGACGGGTTTTACTATTATTCATATAATTGAGAATTTTTTGAAGAGCCTTATTCCATAATTTTGATCGCTCCCCTTCTGTTAATCGGCCCTCTATAGCATATTGGATCTTATATATTTTCTTCGCTACATTCTTT